AGTTACTTGATCTGAAATTAACTGTTTTTGTGAAATATCTAGTCCATTTAATTCATCAACATTTCATAAACCATTTGATCTCAATAGGCATATGCCCTGGGAGCGAATTTTATGAGAGCGCATTGTTTTAGGGGAGAATTGTTCTAGGAGCGATTATGCTCCTCTTCAGTTATCCTTGCATTTATAGGTTAGGAATTCCTGATCATAAAACTTTTATGTTCAGTTTGTTCACGATTTTAGCAATCATGATCATAAGATCACACTTCGAAAGAACGTGATTTGACAATCCAAACGCATTTGGATCATCGAAAGAAAGCGCCTTATATATTACAATCGTGATTCATGTAAACGCGAATGCGCTTGAGCATCACCTTGAACTACTTTCCAAGGTGGCGAGTAACCTAGCTTGAACTGGTCCAGGTTCGGCAATTCATTAAAAAGACTGTTTTATATAATAATAACTTTATTTACGCCATAGACATTTTTGTTCGTATACATGAAATTAACATCACATTGAGGCAAGGTACATACAAAACGCAATGACGGGTTTGACGGCAACTACAATTGAAAGCAAGCGGTTGTGTATAGCCGGCCTTACATTACATGGCAAACTAGGCTAAAGTTGATGATGAGGAGTTCGCCATATAATGTGTATGTCAACGTTCGCCCATACGTCGTTTCGTATAAGAACAGTCGCAGGGTAGCGCCAACTGCAAAACGTATGTCATTTTCTTGCACGTTGCCAATCATGTATGAATAGGTACCGTTGATAGCCTATGTTTTGAGCAATGAATAAAGAATACCAGGAAGGAGAATATCAACAATATACGTGCGACCGCGATGGCTTTTGCAAATAGCGGACAGTAGTTTCCTGTTCCAGTGGCGTACCTACCTTACACTTGTAGAAGGATACAATTATAAAGAATTTTACACGAAAACAATCTAAACCCCCATGTGTCTACTCCGCCTATGACTTTTGTTTAACTAACCTCAAACATTCTGATAAAAAAATTGTAAATTTACATGTACTATATAAAAATATTGGTATCAATACTTACACATGAAATGTAATTCCCAAGCTTTTATTTTTTTCCGTTTTGGAGCAACCACAAGCACAACAACTAACCATTATTTTATATCACTGCAAAAGCCACAACAAAAATGAGTCATAAGTGGCTTTTGCAAATGGCCAACTTCCGTCCCACTCTCTCTTGTATACAACCCGAGTAATGCTCCTTCCTGGTATTCTTTATTCATTGGTTTTGTGTCAGTCACAGATAAAGTATATTAAAACTCTTGTGGCGCTTTTTAGGTAGGTGGTAGGTGTATAAATTACCTACCAGTAAAATTCGCTTATTGGTCGGTAGTAGGTAATTTTATTCAGTTTGATATGCTCCATTTTACAAAGTTTTGTTTATCTTTTAGATATGCGAAGGAACAACAACAAACAAATTTTAATTGTTAAATTCAGTTTCGCATACACACCAACGATCCTACCTATCATGTATTCCAGATAAAGGATTCTCACTTAACATAACGTTTCCATACCATATCCTTTCCATAACCATTCCGTAAATTATTATACCTAGGAAATTGACCTTTAAGTGATATGTGCGTAAGACATTCAGTCGCGCGCTAATACACAATCTCCTTCCATATGTTAACGGAAAGGAGAATGTGTATTAGCGCGCGGCTGAATATCTTACGCACATATCACTTATAGGTCAATTTCCTCGGTATAATAATTTACGGAATGGTTATGGAAAGGATATGGTATGGAAACGTTATGTATAGTGAGAATCAACCTTAACGCACGAAAAACGACATCACCAACATTATTAATTGCACTTTACATTTATAAAATGACCAGCGATTTTTTGCTTTAGAAATAAAATGACACAGCAATTCAGAAACACCGTCTGCGGACTGCGACTTAAAATGAATGTTGCTATTTCTAAAAATATACAGCAAAGTCAAATACCTAAATTTCATTTTATTTAGGACCCGACTGTTTCTTCTTGAAGTCGTCATCTCTCCGTCCTTCCGATCGTTTTTCCGCTCTCTTTTTCTTTTCAAAGTAAGAAAATAGAGACACACTTGGAAAAATAAGCGCATTTATTAAGACGTGACGTGACAATAGGTACATTATTTATTTACCACATAACACGCATATATTTATATGGGCGAAGTAAAAAAAAGGTAAATTCCATTCCATCTTAGAGAAGGAAAGAGTGAGGAGTGACAATAATCATCGTAAAGTGAAGCCCTCATTTGTTTGTTATGGCACCCAAATCATGGCCGCCTACAGTTCATTGGCGTAACGTTAAAACGGCAATCGTAGGTACATTTGTGTATAGTAAATACAATACAAACGTATTATTTTAAACAATTGTGAGCATCCTTGTACAGATAAGCGAATTGTTTTCAATATTGTTGTTTACTAGCATGCAAAATTTATTGCTATTTCACTAGATGATGAATGAATATGACACACATATTAAATAAGTAATGTGAGAAGAATCAAATCCTTACAGAAAGCCTCCGCAATATTGCACATACCATCCTCCGACACTCCATTTTCGAGATATTTACATCGACAATAGATATGTCTCATCCAGATGTTCCACACGCCTTCAATGAGAACTCTCGTCCGACACTTCGTTTTAGGAGCGATTCATTTCGACCTCACCAGAGTTCAGGCTATCCTTTAAGCCTTTGGAAGTACTGCTCAGACACATTGTTTTCTAAATAATCAGACGTAAAGTTTTGACTTGCCAAGGGTGTTCCTTCCAGACATTCCAGTCACCCTATACCCTCCACTGATACTCTGTTTTCGAGACAGAAGCAACTATAACCAACCGTGATAAGGGATTGAAGAGGAGGGATGCGGTGATAGGAATTAATTCCTTTGGTTGTAGAAAAAATGCTCAGCACAGCATGGAACATTAACAACGACATGAAAGCATTTATCAGAAAACATATCTTTTCAAAGTGTAGAGAGGATAACTTACTACTACGAGTCAAAAAAGAGTTGCTGTCGAGTCACCTTTGGAATTTTTGTTTACACGGGAAGTCATATTTAACATGGAACTTCCAAAGGTGACTCGACAATCCTTTTTTGATCGCTCGTTATTAGCAGTAGAAGTGAATTCTTGTTTCATATTTTCCACCCATATGGTACGAATCTTTTCGTCTTTGGGAATTCTAAGTAATAGTACTACCAAAGAGTATACTCTTTGGTACTACTTTAGTTTACATTGCAAAATACTTTACTGTATATTTCACAACACAGACTTAACAAAATGACAATTGTACAAGAAATATTTTTTGTATGCAAATTTGTTTACATAATAAAGTACGTAGGAACACAATTTTGTCTTGAAATGGCTTTAAAAAGTAATTTGCCTTGATATGCGACCCGCATTCTTGCTGCACAAATGTCCATGGTAACCCAGAATGTCCACCTCGGCACCACACACGCGTACGACTTTCACATACTATGAGACCGAGACGAAGAGGCGTAGAAATGTTTGTAGTATTTTTATCCAGTAAAATACGGGGATGGATAACCTTCCAACCACGCTTCGTCTCCTTTTGTGACAATGGTCAACTTCATTTCCCCATGCAAGTATAGAATGGTGGCTATTTCTGATATAGGAATGTCCCAGGCAGATTATCAAGCATCGTTAGCTTCAAGTGGTAGCTCGGAGGGACGACAAAGAATCTTCCGTGCATCTGTAATAAGTTGTACATATATTACTTTCCAACTTTTTCATCAATTTGCTACAAATTTATGGATATCTTTTACGTTTAAGATATTATAGGTGCGTACGCCACTGGTCAATGCATACGGACTCGATCAAAAAAAATCTGTAGCAATTAAAATATAGGCGATATCTTTTCCATTGTAGTACCTACATACTTGTACTCATTACATTTGGCAATAAAATTAAAAGTTATTTTCTCATGCATATTGATCTACGACCAGTTTAAAGCAACTCACATTAAAGTAACCTATAATTACCTGTGAAAGGATATTCCTTGTGAGTTTTTTGGCTATCACTTCCGCACTTCCGTGCACTACAATGTCCCATTGTCCACTAATGTTTTTAAATGCACACTTAAGAGATTTAAGGACCGCATAAACACGAAAATGCAAATACACCCACGCAATTAGCAAAAAGTAAACAAACTTTGGCTCCGAAAATATGGCCGCCTCAGGCTTCACCGCGCAGCATTGCGCTGGATAGGATATTGTCAGTCCCCTTTCTTTCATAGTCTAAGCATTCCATGGACCGAGTCAATAACCCAGCGAGTCAGTAATAAGGAACATCCAAACCAGAGGCGTAACCAACATAGACGTAACATTGACAACTGTACACACCGCATCATAAAATACCAAAAACATAATCATAACCATCTTACTTTTAATGGAGAAATAGCCAGCATACGAAGAGAGCTCTGTTCCGACGCTTCCAGCAGTTCACTTTAGAACAAAGAAAAAACACGAGCAGCCCAAGTTCAACCACTCGTCCCTTGAAATGACGATGGCTTGAGGAGCCCAAAATAACTGTATTCGGCATTCTCAAAAACTATAATTCGTGCGTAGACTTCCACTTCCACTTCCCAAAGAGTTAATCATGATGACTTATCTGCCTCAAACAAAATAGAAGTCGGTGGCTCTTCTACGAAGTTAATCCTGAAAAATCGGTTACTTGATCTGAAATTAACCGTTTTTGTGAAATATCTAGTCCATTTAATTCATCAACATTTCATAAACCATTTGATCTCAACAGACATATGCCCTGGGAGCGAATTTTATGAGAGCGCATTATTTTCGAGGAGAATTGTCCTAGGAGCGAATTATCCGGGCGATAAAACACATAACAGCCTCGCCAAACAAACCTGTAGATACCATCTGATTGCACTACTGAAAAATCTCCACCATTTGTGCGAGTCCTTGCAATTGAGCCACATTTCTCGCAAACTGGGGAAATCCTTTATTTTGACAATCTTGTCACAATTTTTCGTCGGATCAAAATCTTAGATCATATAGTACTATATGGTCTAAGATCAAAATGCATTGATTATTAATTGTCAAGTCAACGTCAAGATTTTACAATGGGAATAGATTATTACGGAGTTCTATCAATACAAAGAAATAGCAATGAACTTGAAATACGTAAAGCGTAAGTGCACGTACAAGGTCTAGCGGCAACCCCAACGGCCTTCTTTGAAGGTACCGAAATTTAGCATTAGAATTCAACCCTGAACGGCTCCAAGACGATGGCACACACAAAATTTTTGCATTGATTGGTGAAGCGTACGAAGTGCTTAGCAATCCTTTACTAAGGGCTGTATTTGACCAATATGGAGAAGAGGGACTAAAACGAGGAGTGCCTGGACCTGGCGAATATATACCTTCGTACCATTATCATGGAGATCCCTTGCGCACTTATAAGTAATTAGCATAAGGAAGGCACTAAAATTGATTCTGTTACACATCTCAGGGAGTTCTTTGGAACAGCTTCCCCATATGCCGACCTCTTGAATTATTTAAAAGATCCTCCTTCATTATACGAACTGCCCGAGGTAAGAGGAGTGAGGAAGAAACAACCTCCAATTTATCATCCACTGTGTCTTACTTTACACGAGATATATTTTGGCGGAGTGAAAAAAATGAAAATACGACGGCTTCAATTCATCGGTTCGGATTGTATACTGACTGAGCTGAAGGAAAACATTTTATCAGTTCCGATTAAACCTGGAATTAAACCGGAAACTTTAATTATATTTCCAGAAGAAGGAGATCAAAACCCACTACACATCCCAGGTAACGCTTTTAATTAAAAATTTGTTTGGTGTTGTCATGGGCGTACGCAGCTTTTGGTCTAGGGAGGGGCAAAAAATAAAATTGGCGGAAAAAAATTTTTAATGAAACACATAATACACATTTTCATTTTTAGTAGGTAAATAGTTACTAAAAACGTCTTCAAAATTATTATATCTCAAACTATTAGTTATTACCGCTTTTATATCAATTAAGTTTGTATTAAATATGCAAAAAAAAACACGGGGCGAAAATAGATAGGTAGATATACAGGCCATTTCGGTATATCCGTAGAATGTAAGGTAAATCGGTAGATCTACCGAAAAATCGGTAGACGGAACATAACTGGCGAGTATGGTGACCACTGCACAGTGGTTGGTGTTAACGCGCGATTAGTGAACGATAACTTCGCTCAGCCCGACGGCAGGCGAGCGGGGCTGTCGCCTAGCTATGCAGGTGCCGATGTGCCGAGTAATCTGATGGGAATGGGAAAAGCGATTTTCGGGATCGGTACCCTAATTTATAGCTTTAAACCTCTTTTATTGCTTAAATCTCAAAGGAAAAGGTTTTGAATTAGAAGCCAACAAAGACAATTCTTACAGATATTTTTTAACAAACATAAAACGTAACCTGTGGCCAGGCCAGGGGGGGGGGCAACAGCCCCCCCTTGCCCCTCCCTCGGTACGCCCATGGGTGTTGTAATTTCCTTATCCTTACAGCGGATGTTATCTTTGTAACGAAGGAGAGAGAGCATGAGTGTTTCACACGCCAGAATAACGACTTAATTATGCGCGTGGAGATTTCTCTTGAAGAAGCACTACTAGGTACCACAGTAACTGTGTCGACAATCGATCATCGCACCCTGAGAGTTCCAATCACCGATGTGGTGAGGTAAAGTATACGTGCTATCCAGGTAAGAGTAATAGATGTATCTTTTTCAGCCCAAGTTACGAAAAAGTAGTTGAAAATGAAGGCATGCCCATTTTAGAAAATCCGGAAAATAAGGGAAATTTGATTATCAGGTTTACAATATCTTTTCCGCAGTACATTCCCCAATCAAGCAAGGACGTGTTCCAGAAAGCATTTCATTTAGTTAAAATCGGTGGAGGTTTTCATCACGAGATGATCAATAAGATGATATTGGCTGATAAAATTATGAGAATCGATCCTTGCGAACAACTTCCACCTTTGTAGACTACAAAATTAATAATAGCATAACTACAAAATGTGTTTTTTTATAATTCCAAGCCTCTTCTGGTATAGCTAAAAACCCGAGTAAAAACCTTTTAGAAATTTGGGTAATCTAAATGCATCTTCTTGAAGATAGCACCACCACGTTTCACATACCTATATTTAAACCTTTCACGATAGTATGTGAATGATTTTAAGCATGCTCGAAAGTTTTCGGACACATAATCCATAATTTTTGTTGTAATGGAGTCTATTGTATACATTCTACTTTTATAATATACAGGGTGGTTGGTGCCTAGCGCGACGCAGCATAGGGATTTCAATAGTATTTTCTTTATAGTCAATTACTAGCTCCCCTAATTATTTTAGAGCAAAAGTCTAAATAGGTTTTTCTCAGAGAAAAAAATACTGCATCTGTTCATACTATTACTCATAATTTTCCGCTTTTCAAAACCGTAGAAATCGACAAAAAAAAGGTTCATTTTACAATAAATCAGATATGCCTTGGAATTACCTAAAAAACCAGCGATCACGTTTCAGTATTTGCCTTTGACGTTTATTAAATTTAAATTTATACTTGTTTACAAATTAGTTAAATAACTGCAAGTGCAATAACGTTCAAAATGTCGGTCAAAACCATCAGTTAAACGACAATACATTCAACGTTTTGGCTGCAGTAGCGGAAAATCCGAATATAAGTTTAAGAACAATTCTTCCTTAAATCAATTTCTTTTTCTTCGATTATGTACTCTGGTTCCAGAAAATGACACACAAATAGTATCTGATGCAGATGCAGCATTACATTCTTTAAAAAAACTACTCCATAGACGCTTTTTCTGGCGTCGGTTATTTGAAACAGACTTAAATATTAAAATCGTTCGACGTCAAACAACGATAACTTAGATGCGACGCGCTTGTAGTTTGTTAAAAGATTCCAAAGCATCACTGATTTATAAAAATGTAATTTTTTATTTTGTCGATTTCTACGGTTTTGAAAAACGGAAAATTATAAGTAATCGTATGAACAGATGCAGGATTTTTTTCTCTAAAAAAACGTATTTAGAATTTTGCTCTAAAATAATTAGGGGAGCTAGTAATTGGCTATAAAGAAATTACCATTGAAATCCCTATGCTGCGTCGCGCTAGGCACCACCCGGTATATCTAAACACCTAGGTTTTTTCGTTAATTTTAACATTTAAAATTGTAAGAAATCTATATTTGCGAGTTTTATGTTAATATTTTTATAGAAAAGGTAAAACTATTTTCTTTAGTTGCCATTAGATGTCACCTCTTACCTCACGTCTCCGACACTGTCGTTACCACGTCCAGTCGTTCCACCTAGAAATACGATTAGAAACAGAAGCGTCCGGCTCTCAGAAGGAGACCTTTACAAGTCTTCCTTTCCAGTAAGGCACCAAAAACTTTAAATGCTTAACTCTCCCTGAATAAAAATGGGAAGATACAAGACAAGCAACATTGAAATTCAATAAGAAAATCCATCCATCCATTTCATATCCATCTACTAAGATGCTGGCCGTCGTCCGTTTAATCGTCGCGTCGTGAGCTGCCACGCATGTAGCCCAGGTTCGATTCCCGGTCAATGCCGGTTTTTTTAAATTTTGTATATTATTTAACATTTATACATTTCACCGGACTAATGCTGCTAATTCCGTTGTTTGTATTCGCAACAATATTCCTTGCCTCGCAATTCAACTTTATTTAGGGTCACGCAGTTTTAATATTTTTGAGTTACAACTTCTCTATTGTTTGTATTTAACGTGATAGTTGCTGAGCCCTAAATTATCATTTGTAAGTGAGAACCACTAAAAACTTTAATTCGCAATTTTACATGTACATAAAATTTGGAATCGTAAGTGCACGAAATTTCTTCGGAAATAATTCACTCTCGATTCTTACGAGATTTCAAAGCAATGTATAAAATCACCCTACGAAAAACTTCACGTGGTCGCCTTAATTGCGCTAACGGCTCGGTACAAGTTCGTATAACACGAAATGAAATTCACCATACGATAAATTACAGGTGGATAAATTAACTTCGCTCGCGACTCAAGATGAAATGTTTAGCACAAAACATACAACGCGATGAATCGCAGGTGACCGATTTAACTGCACTGACCGATCGTCCTAATTGCTTCACGGTTCACTCCGAACAACCAACTTCCCACTACTTTTCTTTTTTGAGTAGGTAACCCCTTTCCGGGGTGCAAACTTTTTTCACAAAAAAAAACAATTGTTTCGTCCAATCAGATTCCGTGACGACCATAAATCAACTCAACGTGGAGTAATTTCCCGTCGATCACTTGAAAACTTTAACGATCGTAGGTGAACAATTGATTTTTATTGAATTAAGTATGGTCAGAGTCAAATTTTGTTGTGACGGAGGCTCTTGTATACATTCTACTTTATATTATTGATAGAGTTCAAATCACTGATGTATTTACTTGGTTTAAATATATTTTTTTCCTTAATTTTTACATTATAGAATTGTAAGAAATCTATATTTGATAGTTTTATGTTAATAGTTGTATAGAAAACGGCCAACTATTTTCTTTAAATGTTATTAGATCCTAAATTAAAATCATTTGTCAGAACCGCTTCCACTTCCAGCCGTTCCGCCTCCAGCCGTTCAGCCTAGAAATACAGCATATAAACTTATAAATGGAAGCGTCCTGCGTCCTGCCTGCAAAAGGATACCTTTAGAAGTCTCAATAATCATGGTGATTTCCGTTTGTCATTCAAACTTGAAGTATTAATTGATCCAGTAAGCTGATCCAAATGATTGAAAAGGACAGTCGATACAAATTCCTAGGCCTCGTATCTTAGACAAGGAAAGAGAAGGGACCCGTAATACCGCATCCACGGCATGCGTGAATTTGACGCGAATTTCGAGACGACCGCCATATTTTCGGTGGCACTCAAAGCGCGGTGGCAGTGTGAATTTTTTGACATTTCTTCATTATTGATAAAGTTTGTGTGTGCAAAACTGTGTGATATAAACGTGGTGAATTGTTCTGCGTACAACTGTAAAAGTTGCAGTGGTCGTTGTCCAGCAGGAATATCATTTCATAGGCAAGATAAAAAACGGCACGTTGTCTGGTTTGGCTAAATTTAATTAAATCTTCATGGTAGTTAATGAAACACTTTTAAGGTCTTCATTTTAATAATCTTACAATTGTCCTATATTTTTGTGAATCAATAAAATACTCCTTTATACTTCTTTTCATTGATAATTTCTCGATTACAGTAAGCAAGTGATATAACCTGCAAGCGATATTCCAGTGACGGCGTGACTATCTAGTTACATGACGTAACAGATATGTACATGTTTGGATGCCTAACCCTTAGGCGACTGATTACTTTGTATGGAGTAGTAACTACAGTGTATGTTGCCTTTGTACTTACATGTAGTACGACAGATAGGATTTGGTCTTCAAAACAGAGAGGTCATCGATCGATGTTCGAAGCAATACACATCGATCGCCGCCACATTCGATGAACACAAGATATCCTGAAGGAATATCGTTATGATTAAACCCGTTAGGGGAGAAGACATCTCAATTTATCACAGTCGTCATCGTCAATGGTTTGCTATAGTATCAACAGCTTATTACTTAAGTACAAGAAACTGAGGAAGGGGTTTAAAGAAATTCTTTTTATACCCGTTTTGTATTTGTCTTATGCGGCTATCGATTTCGACCTATCATCTTCAGGCCGAGCGCCATTGATGAAGTGAAATGAATACAAAATTTTTTTAACGATGTTATATAGTAGTGGTCAGGAATGACAAATTAATGTACGAAAGAGTGAGATTGTGTATTAGTATTTTAAAAACGCTGCGTAGAAATGGTTACAATTGATTATCGAAATCAGGGCTCCGTTCGCCTAACGTTCCGTGCGGTCCGTCCAATTTATGGCTTTCATGGACATCCTGCAGAGTCCACAATCCGTTGTTTAATAAAAAATTTGAGACAACGGGGTCAGTGATTGATGAAGCAGTTCCTGTACGTCAAAGAAACGCAAGATCGTTGGAGAATGTTATTGCCGTTCGGAATAGTGTGCGAGAAAACCCCAGGCAGCCCATTCTGCAGAGTGCGCAAGAGATGGGTCTTTCTGGGACGTTAACTTGGCGGATTTTGCGCCGAGACTTGGGTTTTCAGTTCCCTAGTCTATGGAGACCAACCACAGTCAATTGCTGCCCTAAAGACCAGTATAACTCGCTTTCTTCGTAAAATTCAGCCCAGTTTAAGCGAACATGTCCAAAATTGGTACACCACAATGCAACGTCCACAGCGGAGTCGCGGGGGCCATTTCACTGAAATTATTTTTCATAAATAATGTCATCGAATATCCTTTAAAATATTATAAAACTTATGGTAATATCACTTAAACAGGTTGTTTTATTTCATTTCAAAGTTCGAGCGTTCTTAATGAAAAACCCTCGGAAAAACCTTTTACTTTCAATAATATTGCGCTTATATCGCGAACCCAGTTTCTGAAACGATCAAAGTCCAGTCGTATGTTTACGTTTATCGCGTTTTTTGTCTCTCTATTCAGATAAGAACCTAATATTATGTCCGACAACTGTACACACAGGTTAATCATACCATGATGGCAGTATAAATAAATTGTAATTTCCTAATGTAATACCCGAGCGGGCGCCACTGGCGGTGGCAGTATGATCGCAATTTGCTTCACGCGCGCGCTCTCTATTACGGGTCCCCTCTCTTTCATAGTCTAAGCCTCGTATAATGAATGTTTCCTTTGATTTTGAAGTTCAAATACGGTCACTTACAAATTAGGCGTAAATTTTTTGGGGTTAAAACTGCCACTATTGTTTGTATTTAGGGAAGGAAGAGAGAATGAGAGATCGAGAGGGGGTGCGGCGATGTTTATTTTTAAAAAATACTTGCTGAATAGGGCAAATGTGGTTTATGATATTACATAATTTTCCTGTGATAATGGCACGCGATTATGCGTAAAGTTTCAGACACTATTGTCATAAATACCATGAAAAAACAGAACGTTAAGAGAAGGATATCGAAACATCATTGCAAATTTGAAATAATTCAAAAAAAAATGGTCTTAATGACTTGCACCAATTTTTCGAAATATTTAGATTTTATTTGAAAAAAAAATTCTATCTCAAGATAACACCCTAATTTTCTTATTTTTTTATGAGCTCTATGATAAATTTTTCAATTTAGATTATATACATTGGTAGGGAGTGGGCCTTTTGTTCCCATTTCCCGATAGGCCTTTTGGGGTCCAGTCCGATACTGGTCCTTGGGAATAAACAAAGTAAAAGCTGTCATTGCTTTATTTTACTATTCTACAATTCGTAGTCGTTCTATCATCACAATTCGGAAGTGGGTAGGTTTTGGTGAACGAGTTGAGGACTGCATCTAAAAGAATAACATTTTGGTAAAGAGAATACAGTCATAGCACCTACGATTTTTACTCTTGCAGCGTATTGTGTCTGTCATCCAGTCATCTGTCGCTACGCTGTCTACGCTGCAGGTCACTGTACCCTTTGGGCATTCAAAGCCGTAGCAGTTACGCAGGTATGTCTTTTCATCGTTGTTATTATCTAGAATTAACTTTCCTAAACGCTATTAGGAACAATCTGTTTACTTACGAAGTGTAGCTGGTGTGGCCGCTACTAAAACCAAACAAACTAATAGACACAAAACGGCTCTCATTGCAATCATCTGTAAGCGTTCAGTTTCCTTCAATTACAATATTTTCGGTATTTATAATGGCGATCAAAATCTCCCAAAAATTGCCTTATCAATTGTGTATAAAGGTTGTTAATTATAAGCAGGTAAATAGAGGTCAATAATTTAGATTTTATGTTTTCTTACAGGTAAGAAACCTGTAAGAAAACATAAAATCTAAATTATTTACCTCTACTTACCTGCTTTATATAATAAATAATTTCCATATGGAGCAATACATCAACAAAAGTTGTTAATTATATAAACAAAATGCTTTCGCTTAGTAACAAATTATGCGGCCAAGGTTGCAATCGGGTCAAAAAACAATTCGTAATAAATATGAAATAAAAAGTGATCTAAATAATACTCTTCGAAGATCTAAGGTTGAAGTGCAGGGCTTTATCATTTAGGCAATATAGATAATGGCGTATTAGTCTAAGCGGTACATATTAAAAATCGAAAAAACCTTACGAACAATGCAGAAAGCAAGCCACTTGCCATAAACGATGTGTATGTCCAACAGATCGATTTGACCTGCAGCACTCTCTCCCCCCACCCCGTGTAACTAATATATGGCGGCCATTTAGGAAAAAAACTGTCACTGACTAAAAAATATTTATATTTCAAAGATGGCATGCGGCTGATCGTTTAAGGATAATTTGAGGTCGCTGATTTCAAATCTGCGACCAAGAAATCAAAATTAAAGAATCTTATCTATAATTATGCAGATCTGGAACAAGTTGAATCAAAATTTTCACAAAAAACTCACTTTGTATAGATGATGCGAGAGATGATGTTTCCAAAAAACAAAAATATTACTCACAAATTCAAAAAAACTAAAAAAACTAAAACTGAAACTGAAAAATTGTCTTTGTTGAACAGTGGAAAGTGCGAGGCGAAGCCGAGTTATTGACCGTTACAAATCAGAGCGAGTCGAGGTGGTAGAGCCGCCACCGCCGGAGCCGACCGTATGTTTCATCAAAACCAAACAGTATTATCAAAATTAAACAAGTATAAATTGTGCACAACTCTTGTGCAGATAAAGCGCATTTTTTTTTAACCGAAATAGCTTTTGTTCTGACATCACCAATGGATATATTTCTTGCAGACGTCTCAATTGCCCTTTGTGAGTACCCTCTTCCGACAATCCGTTCTTGAGGTGTAAGGGAATATACCCGATCACGAAAAGAGGTCGAGGAGGAGGGCTATGGTTGGAAGAAATTAATTCATTTCGTTGAGACCTTTCATTAGAGTACCATGAAGGATAAAAATAATTAAAGCTTAAATTTATCTATTAAAATTTGGTTTTTTTTATCTCAGATTTGAAATCAGAGACCTCAAATTATCCTTAAAACATTACTCGCATGCTATCCTTGAAATACAAATATATATTTTTTTAGTCAGAAACAGATGTTTTCTTAAATAGCCGCCATATTGGTTCCACATGGTGGGGGAATGGGGTGCAGCGGGCCAAATTGATCTATAAGACATAAAAATCGACCATACCACACGGCATGCTTTCTGCATTATTCGTCATATTTTTCTGTGTATCGCTTAGACTAGGTTCCCGACCCGATGCTGGCAGGGACCTCGCGATACAAAAGAAACTTTAATTAGATTTCATTCCATTCATTTCATTTTCACGATGGGGATCTCGTAAACCGTAAGAGATACAAAGTTATGCAGAATTTTGTGCTTATTAATTTGTCTATTCATAGTTACTTATAACTCCACAAATAGCGAAGTATATGGTGGCATATGGACAAAAAACCGAAAATTGTCATTTTCGAAAATGCACTAGCGTTCATTTATTTTTAAAGATTTCAACAAATAACTTAGCAATTTTTTCTCAGCTTTCTGATGGTGCTAAAATAAAACAAAATGTGCTATATTTTACTAATTACAAACTTTGACATCTCTATTCGTAATTTGTGTAGATTTGGGTGTACGATTTGAGGAGTACATCTGAAAGAGTAAAAATTGTGGTAAAGAGAATACTGTGGTGTTATACCTACCATTTTTACTCATGCAGCGAACTGTTTCATTCCTTGAAGTGTCCGTCACTTCGTCGTGTTTAGCGCAGGTCACAGTACCCTCTGGGCATGTAAAGCCGTAGCATACCGCTTCGTCACTGTTATTATCTAGAATTAACATTCATTAACGCTATTTGGAACAAGCTGTCTATTTACCGGGTGTATCATTTAATGGGCTCTCCTCCTGAATGAACGATTTGAGGAGTACATCTGAAAGAGTAAAAGTTGTGGTAAAGAGAATACTGTGGTGTTACCTACCATTTTTACTCATGCAACGAACTGTTTCTTTCTTCGAGTGATCTGTTCCTTCGTTTTCTTTGGCGCAGGCCATAGTACCCTTTGGGCATGTAAAGCCGTAGCATTTCCTCATGTATACCGCTTCGCTACTGTTATTATCTAGAATTATAACATTCGTTAACGCTCTTTGAAACAAGCTGTCTATTTACCGGGTATATCCTTTGATGGTCTGGCCTCCACCAAGACCAAACAAACTAATAGACACAACACGGCTTTCATTTTAATCATCTGTAAGTGTTCCTTCAATATAAAAAGATTTCCTGTACTTATATAGTGGCGATAAAAAGCTCCCACATAAATATTTCTTATCACATATGCACAAAGGTTATATTCTTACGTAAACAAAATGATTTCGCCCAGTATCAAATTTGGTCAATGTTGCAATCCGGTCAAAGATCAATACGCAACATATATGAAATAAAAAGTAACATTTAACTAAATAATATACCCTTCAGACTACGAGGACGTCTAAAGTACAGAGCCTTATCCATTTCGGCAATGTAGGTAATAGCGTACCTGCTTTGATCAATAAAAACAACATTTAACAAGTTAAAAAAGTAATCCTAAACGATTTACATAAAGCGCATTTTCACTTGCATTCATTTCCCATTTTTAAGATGCAACTTCTGTTAAAATCGTAAAAATCCGGCCACAAATATGAAAGATAGCGTTGCATATGTTCAATCCATTTTTGACGTGCTACTTCAATTTCAGTTTATAAGAAGAATTTAATTGTAATGCTTTCATAAATAAGAAAGTTTGCACTGCGCATGCGCAAATCTAAATTTTGAAACTGGCGTTTGATTTTCCTTTATTCCAAGTGCCTATGTATCAAATTTCATTTAAATACTTTTATAAATAAAAAAGGATGCAATTCGGTTTATAAATGGTCGAGATGCGAAAAGGGCACTGTGAATTTTGAATCGATTCGACTCACCTTTTGGCATTGCGTATTTATAGCTAAATCTATGCCCATACTGAAGTTCATGCAATTCAGTTCATAACTAACGGAGATGTCAAAGCGATCGGACATTTCTAAACAAAATTATCGTTCACACGGACAGATAGATGGACAGACAGACAAAGGAACAGACGGGCAGACCAACAGACAGACGAGAGACAGCAATGCAAAATTATAACCGATCTCTAGGATCATTAATAAACGGCAAAAGTGTAAAATTATGGAACATATTATGTAAAAAACGGTTTTTTGGTTTTTTTACAATAACTTTTTTAGCAATAAACGCAGAAAAAACTCCTTCCTTGATGCAAACCTCGACACCATAACGAACCAAATAGCGAAAAAAGGAGAACAATAGCTCTTAAGATAAAGAACTAGTATCGTCTCAACCAACGCGCGGACGGACAGACGGACGGACGGGCAAAGTGGCCACAATAGCGCCTTTTTTATTTTTGTGCAAATGCGCTAAAAAGGTACAGAGCAAGCCCCTGGTGGTCTTGTATCTACTGGTTTATTGGATTAGACGATGAGTTGAGAGTATGTTTACAACCACTTCATTTCGTTCTTGAGAAATTTGAATTTAAACTGGGTCGTACAGTCAGGCTACTTACCTAGTCAAGTAAATTGCACAAAAAGAGGTAGTGGTTGGTTGTATGTGCCTGTAGCCTGTTGTAGGTAGTAGTAGATGGTTCAAAACTTTGATACACTGGCGAGTTTTTTAGGGGGTGATAACCCCAAATTTCAATTTCAAGTTTCAACTTCTGTCGATTTCTTTTTGTGATGGTAATTAAACAATAAATATTACCCATACGTCCTTTTGACTTGCTTCTCAACTCACTCCGAAGATATCAGTTGTGGTTCGGTGACGGATGCATGGTCGAAGTGACTAATTTTTTATTAACAATTCTTACAATAACAGCAACTCCAGGAAATGTGTTCTGTTTAAATCGTTATTTGAGAGCAACTATGTGCCAAGAAAGGTCCAACAATGTTGCATTGCTAAATGTTCTTAGAGTTAACGGTCGGTATCTACGAGGGCTGTCTCATAAGTAAATGCATTATTTTTTTAATCCGCGTGGGAGCCGGGAAAAGTCTGAGAGTCGCGGGGAATTTGTGTTTGGGTGAGTAGCAGCACTGTAAAATTTTTATGCGTGTGCGTCGATCGAGTGAATTCTCAAGTTGCATATGGAACGTTATGTCAAGGCAAATGGTTTCTCCCTGGCGCTACTCATTCATTGAAGGGACAACATCACTCCATGTCGAACAACGAGGTGTCGCCCTTCCACTTCTCGCGCTCAGAGATTCACTACTATAACAAAACAAAGAACGAAGGGATTTTGCCATAGGTCTAGTTAATATAAGGTCTCTCTATTTTACTTATTACAAAGTTTACCATTACAAATCGGAGTTGTTTTGTTGAACGAGTCGAGAAGTACATCTGAAAGAGTAAGAGCTATGGTAAAGGGAATACTGTCGAGGTACCTACGATTTTTACTCATGCAGCGAAATACTTTTTTCTTCCAGTGATCTGTCAATTCGGCATCTACGGCACAGGTCACAGTACCCTTTGGACATGTATAGCCGAAGCAGTAAGGCACGGGTACCTCCACATCATTGGTATTATCTGGAGTCACAGACAACATTGTTGTGGTCTGGCCTAGAATTAACATTCGTTAGCACTATTTAAAACAATCTGTCTACTTACCCAATGTATCCTTTGAGGGTCTGGCCTCCACTAAAACCCAACAAACTAATACACACAAAACGGTTTTCATTTTAATCATCTGCAAAAGTTCAGATTCATATAATGTTACTAAGATTTCGGGCATTTATAGTGACGTAAAACGCCACCAAAATATTGGCTTATCGATTGTGTACAAAGGTTGTCGATTATGATTTAGCCCAATAACAAATTATGCGGACAATGTTGCAACCGGGTCAAAGAACAATTCCCAACAATGTTTATTTTACGATATATAATACCATAGTGTAAGAATAGCACTAAGATAATACATAACCACTCTTGCTTGTGTATTTACTCCTATTTTATTCCTGTATTACAACATTATTTCTCTTTATTAAAGATCCTCAGATCCTTTATGGTTTTGTATTGTCGTCCGTCCGTCCATCCGTGTGCCCTATAACTCTTTTTAAAAGTGGCCGATTGTGTAGAAATTTGATGTGCGGGTACTTTGGACATTATGAACGGACGCTATTGATTTTCAGGAAGCTGGTTCAACAGGAACAAAAGTTATAGGACTAGTGAATCGGGATCACGAAAACTGCGCACTCAATATACTAGAAGTCAATATATTTCACTTCCTAGGTCATGTATCGAGTTCGGACTTTCGCTAGGTTATTCTCTATGACTCTTAGATGTGTAATAATTCAAAATATCTCTTTTCTGTGTTTTGGTCAAAAGTTTGAGAGCAAAATGTACCCAAAATTATTCTTTACACATGAATTTGAAATTTTACAAGCTTTCAAACGCATTATCTTGACGCTAAAAGAGTACATCACATGCACATTTGATAACCGCGTGTGTGTGCAAATATGTTAAATTCTTTTTCTGAGGCCACGTGGATTTTGATCAAAACATGTAAAAATCGTTATTTATGCACCAAAATCGTTGGGAAAAAGACCAAGAGCATTATCCCAATGACCAAAACAGCGTTACGATCAAAATCACTTTTAAGATTTTCTGTATAGCCATTCTTTCTTCACATTGAACCCATAGTCCTTCAAAATAACGACTCGTTTTGCTGTTGATGTATTTGCTTCCAATTTATAGCCCCTCATTCTCGCTGGAATAATGTCAGTAGATTATTTCCACTGACCACTATAGTAATGTTTTGATTGGCTAGAACGTATATGAATGACTGAAATTGAACATTTCTATTGGTTTTGATAAACGTCAAAAAATAATCATAGAAACAGTATTGTCGCATGTTCTGAATGTCATTGTATATCATTCTTCGCGGCACATTTGAAATAAGAATGACATCTGTTTCACTTTATCTACCCTCACGGTCAATGAGCGACTTAGCCTACATATTCAAATTTATTAAAATGTCAATTAATAGTATAAAATACATGCTGTTATTGCTTTATTTTCATATTTTACTAATTACAAACTTTGACATCTCTATTCGTAATTACACATTTTACAGATTTTGGTGAACAATTTGAGGAGTTCATCTGAAAGAGTAAAAGTTGTGGTAAAGAGAATACTATGGTGTTACCTACTATTTTTACTCATGCAGCGAACTGTTTCTTTCCTTGAAGTGTCGGTCACTTCGTCGAGTTTAGCGCAGGTCACAGTATCCTCTGGGCATGTAAAACCGTAGCATTTCCTCGTGTATATCGCTTCGTCACTGTTATTATCTAGAATTAACATTCATTAACGCTTTGGAACAAGCTGTCTATTTACCGGGTGTATCCTTTAATGGGCTCTCCTCCAGAATGAACGATTTGAGGAGTACATCTGAAAGAGTAAAAGTTGTGGCAAAGAGAATAAATACTATGGTGGTACCTACCATTTTTACTCTTGCAACGAACTGTTTCTTTCTTCGAGTGATCTGTTCCTTCGTTTTCTTTGGCGCAGGCCATAGTACCCTTTGGGCATGTAAAGCCGTAGCATTTCCTCATGTATACCGCTTCATCACTGTTATTATCTAGAATTAACATTCGTTAACGCTCTTTGGAACAAGCTGTCTATTTACCGGGTATATCCTTTGATGGTCTGGCCTCCACCAAGACCAAACAAACTAATAGACACAAAACTGCTTTCATTTCAATCATCTGCAAGCGTTTCTTCAATATTACTAAGATTTGCGGTACTTATATAGTAACGCCAAATAAATTTTCTTATCACATGTGGACAAAGGTTATATTCTTACCTCTTACGTAAACAAAATGATTTCCCCCAATATCAAATTAGGTAATGTTGCAATCGGGTCAAAGATCAATTCGCAACATATATCTATGAAATAAAAAGTAACATTTAAATAAATACTATACCCTTGAGATTTCAAAGAAGTCGGAAGTACAGAGCTTTATCTATTTCGGTAATGTAGGTAATAGCGTATGGGTGTCCCTCTGCTTTGATCAATAAAAACAACATTTAAAAATGTTCCAAAACCCACTCGTGGGTATTGCCGCTAACACAAAGTATTGAAACGGTGCATCGTCATCGAAAGCACACAAAATGTCGAATCTGCATATTGAAGCAGGTCCACGTCCAGAGAAAGAGAGGAGTTAAATAAGTAAAATAAAGTTTCAAAGAAATATTACCATACATAAGAAAGTTGGCTATGAGCGCAGTCTGTGCAGTCAATGCGCACGCCCACATTGTTTTTACCATGTGCGAAATGTTTGCCTTTACTAGAATCATCTGTGGTTAAAATTTCAAAGAAATGAGGAGCGTCTGTTCAAAACCAGACATGTCCAACTTCGAATGAATTTCGTTTTTCGACTGTTTCCGAAAGATTTTATTGAATTAAATACGACTGTGGTAACAGAATTGATCAAAACAGATCATGTCCCTTGTAAAATGCATAGCGAAAGTAGAGCGTTTGATCAAAATCAGACATGTCCACTATTTAACTTCGCAAGTGAATACCTGATCTAAACTAGACATGTCCTTAACTTTTATAATAGCATTTGTAAATAACTGATCATAAGCGGACATGTCCTAAGTGATGCAGATTCCTTTGTATAGGTTTATTTTGCACTATGGTCGCAATATTCGTCAGTGGATGGCACCACCTATTAGCTATACCACAGACAACATATACTACAGACGGTCAATCTTAAGGGGAAAGAGCACGCTAAGTTTTGTGTCAAATGTCCCCTTATTAAAAAACCTGCTATCCCTCTATTTTGCTCCATCTATTAGCGCATACAACAATGTGTTGGTTCTTCTACAGATATCTTTTATTGGAATGGTTTTGCAAATTGTCTAGAGAAAGAAGTATTGATACTTTTTTGTTAGAAAGCTGTCCCACAACAAATCCCCATAATTTACATCATAAGAATCGATATAACTTGCACCACTTTTCGAATTCTCGAAAAAAGTGTAATCTCCGTGTTTGTTTATATACCTACGTACTCTACTTGCCTACTTGTCTCTCCGTTTGTGGAATAAATCTTGCAATCAGCAATTTAACTTCATTTAACTTGGATAAAGAAAACCTAAACGTAAGCAAATTTTCGAATGAATATTTGCCTCATATGTAATAAATCCCATTTGAGGTGTGCAATTATCGGTCAATTACAGCGGTAATTGCATTGTAGAAAACGAAAGAGCCCTGCGATAATTGCACATTTCATGGGAATACACTTAACAATTTTATAAGTAGGTAAGGTGAGTTTGTAATGTTTATTCAGGAAATATTCCCCCGAATTACACTCGTGCATCAAAATAATCCTGATAATTTTTAGCGCATTTTCCAACGAAGTTGGGTGCGCTATTGCAGCCACTTTCTCTGTCCGTCCGTCTGTCCGAGGCCTTAACTACTCCTACAGTTTTTGAAGATATTTAGTTCGTTCTTTTTGCATTCGGTAGCGTATCGCTCTGGCACCTGAGTCAAAGAAAATCTTGACGATTGAACTGCGCATGCGCAGGCTGCGCAATGTTAACTTTTTTATTTATTAATATATTTTGTTGAAATTTTAATCACAGATACTTGTAGTAAAGGCAAATATATCGCATATAGTAAAAATCAGATGTGCGCATGCGCAGACTGCGCAATGCAAACTATCTTTATGGAGATATTTCTTTGAAATTTTAACCAAAGATACTTATAGTTATAGTAAAAGCAAACGTATTGCATATTATAAATATCAGATTAATAAGCGCATGCACAGGACGCGCAATATCAACTGCGCAGTAAGTGTCAGCTTCCTTATTTATGAAGATATTTCTTTAAAATTTTAACCATATATGCGTCTAGTAATGAAAAACGTAGCGCACATAGGTATGGCCTTTGGGGAAGTATTGATCAATTTATGGAAAATGCGCTGAAGTTACACTTCATAATTTGTTAAAAGAGCATTTTGATGCACTTGTGCAATTACCTACGAAAATTGTCACAAAGCAAAGTTTTAATAGCGATCCTCGAGATGGTTTATACTTAGTTTTATATCTATTATTGTCTGCCGGTTTAGTGTGTTGTCACTTCACTCAACGAAACCATGTGTATTGTATGCAAAAAAAATCCCCTGAATCCGTAAATGACAGTCTAGCTGACCGGAAACTCCGGAAACATATTGCTATACACATGTAAACGAAGAAAAAATGTGAAAATGTCGTTTTTTCGCATTTAATTAGGTATCTCGTTAACTATTCCTCTTACGGAAAAAATGAAGAGAACGAATTTGTTTAGGATCGATTTTTGTATCAGATACAGTTGGTATGATTTTTATTAAACAGAGTGCCAAGGGTCTATTATAAAGTTACTTTCTTGTTCTATTTCTGGAGTTTCCACTAAACTAATTCCACAATCCGTCGATTTGCAAAACTCATCGGGACAACAGACAATTGTTGGAATAGGTTGTTTTACGGTTCCACCATTCATAAAAATATTGAAAACGCTCTGGGAGTCATCCAGTTTGAAGAACAAAGCATCGAGAAGGGCGTATCAACAAAAACAAATGTTAATTTTTGGGATTACTTTTTTTGTATTTTTCCAGAATAAACAATAACATTTAAAAATGAACGGTTCTGTACCAACCAGTGCTCGGAATGGAAATTTTCGCCGGAACGCAAGCATCAGCCCATCATGAGGAAGGGGGGGGGGGAACATAGAAAACATGTACTACGTACATTAAAACAACGAGAAAACGTAACAAAAATTAAATGTTTCATTTTTATTGTTTCCCTTGGTGTGGAGACCAGTGGATACTAATGGGTTTCGTGTGCTGGTATGATCTGAAGGACGTATTTTCGTTTCCATGTGATTTTTATCGCATTAATGACAAATAATCCAACAATATGTAGGGTTCTGTAAAATTTCTTTGTGTGCGGGTGGAGAGGATCTGACGCTGCGGTCCCTTTACGAAAAGGAACAGTGTACAAATATTTTCGACGAAACGGAACAATATTGTAATACTTTTTACCAACCGGAACAGCGTTCCGGCTCGTTCCGGTCCATTCCGAGCCCTGGTACCAACTGAAAATTCGATTCTAAACAAATTCATTTCTATGAGCTCGAGCAATAGTTGACGAGATAATTGGAAGTCAAATGCGAAAAAAACTGCATTTTTCCATTTTTTCTTGTTTTTTTTTGTGTATAGCAATATGTTCCGGGAGCTTCCGGGCAGTGAACTACATAGAATACACTTGGTTTCGTTGTGTGAAATGCCAACATCCAGTTCAGAATACTTTTGGAGCTAATTTGACTGGACTATGTTGACCCTACACATTGACATAAAATAACGTTCGTTAAGTGCTCCCTCCCCTAATCAAAAAAATTTGTGAGGGTATTATCACAGATACATATAGGTAGACAAGGCCGTGCGAGGGGGAGGGGCGAGGGGGGCCCAGGCCCTGGACGCCAAGTCTGGGGGGCGCTGAAGTCGCCCGTCGTCGCCTTCGTCGGGAGCGTCAAAGGCGTGAGTGAAAGATTTACCTCGAATTATATAAACAAATCCGTACATACTCTTGTTTCGTATTTTATAAATTCAGAATCAGTAAAAATTTAAAAATTAAAAACTGTCGCGTTTATAAAGTCGGTAATTCCATGGAGTTAGGAAATCAAACAAAAGCGCCTGCATTTGCCATGTTTGATCTCAAATTGCCATGGCACCACTGATTTTCTTAAAAGCGCCAGTTTTTAATTATCCAATTTCTTGGATTCAAAGTTCAGAAAATTAAAAGTTATAGTATGCATGGATTCGTAATTTTTTTCCCTACAAAAAACCTAAATAGACTTTCTCTCTAAAATAATTAGAGAAGTCAATAATCAGAAATGAAAAAATTTCTATTGCAATTCCTATGGTGCGTTGAACAAGTCACCACCTGGTATAATAAATAATATATTTATTATGGAAAAACAAAAATTATGTTTATTATTCTAACAAAATCTTTCCTTGTCCAACCTCATAATTTTATATGTGGAGGCCAAATTTAGTTTCCGCCCTTGTATAACCAAACCCGCTCCATCAATTTTTTAAATGTTTAGAAAAGAGAAAAATGAAGAATTAAAATGTATCCTATTTCATGTAATTTATGATGTTATACAAGTGGGCGCTTATCTTATCTACATAAAGGCAGGCGTTGAAGCCGAGGAAATAAGGTTTGAGTATATGTATTTTATTTTTACAAAAATGACTCCATCTATTACACACTTTTACCACACACAACAGTTTTCTGTGCGTCTACCACATTTTACGACAAATTATTTCGACTGCTGCAAGGTAGACAACACACTAACCATACTCTATTAGGTGTTGCGTTTATTTCTATAGCATTGCATTGACCGTCTATGTTGTCTGTGGCTATACGCTAAAATTAATTACCTGTTAAATTTTGTTGTGTTGTTTCACCGCTATATTAGTGCTTTTCGCCTTAAAGGAATAGTGCGCTCTTCAGGTGAAGTTGTGGTTTATCTTATTGAATTTGAGTGTCTTTATCAATGGAAGAACATACTGTTGGCGAGATTAATAGTGGATCACGAATAAACGTGTACCTACATCCACACGTGCTTCAAAGGCAACCATGAGGAAAGATTTTGTCATCTTTTCCGTGCAATGTTGAAAATGTTGGTTAATATTATTTAGGTACGCAGAGGCCGATCCTGATTTAAAATCATTTAAACGTCCTTGCGACCATCACACTTCCTTTTCATTTTCTCAAG